CTCCTCTCCTCTTCTCTCTGTCCTCTCTCTCTCCTCTCTCTCTCTCTCTCTCTCTCTGTCTCTCTCTCTTTCTCTCTCTCTCTGTCTCTCTTCTCTGTGTCTCTGTCTCTGTCTCTCTCTCTCTCTGTCTCTCTCTGTCTCTCTCTCTGTCTCTCTTCTCTCTTCTGTTCTCTGTCTCTGTCTCTGTCTCTCTCTCTCTCTCTCTCTCTCTCTCTCTCCTCTCTCTCTCTCCTCTCTCTTCTCTCTCTCTCTCTCTCTCTCTCTCTCTCTCTCTCTCTCTCTCTCCTCTCTCTCTCTCTCTTCTCTCTCTCTCCCTGCCTCCCTCCCTCTCTCTCCCTATGCCACCCTCCTCCTTCTCTCCTCTGTCTCTGTATGTCTGGGCTCTCCTACCTCTGACTGCTCCTTCTTGGTCCTTTGCTGGATCTCCATCCAGGTCATACTCACTAGCCATGAATATCCACAAGTCTGTCTCCTGTATTCTCTACTCTTCTTCCTACAGCCTATATTATCTGGTGATCTCATTAGCTTGCATGGATTCAATTGTCATCTCTATGCTACTGATTTTGCAGTCTACTCGTCCAGCCCTAGAGTGTCTGGTGGCCTTCAAACTCCCGCTCCAGCGGCTCATTGGAATTCTTGCATGGATGTCCCGTAGACGTCTCAAACTCAGCACATCTAAAACTGAACTCATCGTCTTTCTCCCTGAAGATCCCCCCCTTCCGAACTTCCTTACTACTCTCTAGGGCGCTGCTATCCTCCCGGTCCCCTAGCTCAAAACCTAGGTGCGATCCTTGGCTTCTCATTCACTTCACCCTCTACACCCAATCTGTTGCCAAGACCTGTCAGTCGTACATTCAATAATATCTTTCAAATGCATCCTCCTCTCTCCTCTGACACTAGCGCCACCCTGGCGTAGGCTCTTACCATCTTATACTCGGACTGTTGCAAAAACCTCCTGGCTGGTCTGCTGCCACCAGTCTGTTCCCACACATGTCCATCCTCCACTCAGCTGTCCAAGTGCCCTTCTTACAGCATGGGCCTGACCACATCAGCCCCCCACTCAACAAACTCCAGCAACTCCCCATCACCTCCAGGATCAAATAGAAAATCCTCTGAGATTCAAAGTCCTTCAAAACCTACCCATCCCCCACTTTCAGGTCTACTTATACTTCATACTTCCTTCCTCTCCCATAGCCTGGGACCCAATGGCACAGGCTTCCTTACTGTTCCTCAGACAAAATACTTAAGGGAAGGGAATGGAAAGGAAGGAAAGGAGGGGAAGGGAAAGGATTGGTGTGGTATAAGTGTGGGGTTGAGAGGAAACATAAAAAGTTCAGTTTTGGGTATGCTGAGTCGAAGATGTCTATGGAATATCCAATTTGAGCTGTTCAATATTCAGTTGGAGATGGGAAATTGGAGTTCAGGAAATAGATTAGGGATGAATAAATAAAATTAAGAGTCATGTATAAAAATGATAATTGAATTCCTGGCAGTTGAGATCGCCCAATTAAATAATACAGAGAAAGAAGGAGGCCAAGGATGGATCTTTGGGGGACACCCATGGTTAGGGGGCATGACTGGAACATCAAGCAGAGGAGACAGAAAAAAAGAGCAGTCAGAAAGGTAGGAGAATCAGGACAGAGCAGTGTCACGAAAAGCGAGAAAGAAGAGAACATAAAGTAGAGGGTGATCAATAGTGTCAAAAACTGAAAAGAGGTAAAAAAGGATTGGAATTGAGAAAAGGCCAATAGATTTGGCAATTTAGAGATCACTGACAACTTCGGAGATAGAATTTTCAACTGAATGATGAGATTGGAAACCAGACTGCAGACAGAGAGTTAAGAAGAGAATGAGAAGAAGGAAGTGGAGAGGTGGATTGTAAATGGCCTTCTGGAGGCATTTAACCATAAAGGGAAGGAAGGATGCTAGATGTTAGGTAGCAGAGATAGATGAATCAAGTAAGGTTTTTTTGAGGATTGGAGAAACCTGAGCATATTTGTAAGCAGGAGGGAAGGAGCCAATAGCCAGGGAGAAAATGAAGATAAGTGAGAGAGAGGAGATAACCGAGGGGGTAATCTGCTGGAGAAGATAGAATGGAATGGGATCACTTGTGCATGACGAGGGCTTTGCCTTGGCAGTAAGAAGGAGGAGACAGTGGGAAAAGGTATCGGAGTGATACGAAATGAGGAGAAGAGAATGAAAGGGAGCACTCGGCAAGTGGCTAGCGTTTTTTTCATTGAAACATGCGACAAGGTTCTTAGTTGAAAGGTGAAGGGAGAAGGAGCCATAGGATGTTTGAGGAGGGACAAAATGGTTTACTATAGCCACTGCGGGGAATGGAATAGTGAATCAATTAGAGAGGTATAAAAGGATTACCTTGCTGCAGGGAGGGCCCTTTTGAGATTCTGTAATCTATATTTGGACTGGACCCAGTCAACACAATGTTGTGATTTTCTCCAGCTTTGTGCAGCAGCCTGAGAATAAGAGGGAACTCAAAGGA